TTAGCGCCTTACACTGGGGAACATCCATGTGCTCAGGAAAGGAGACAAGTATTTTACAGTGCGCAGCAGAGGGCTCTGAACGAGTGTGGGTGTTCGATACCTGGGGTGATGCGAGAGTGCCCTGCCTGCCGCCTCCAAACCCAGAAGAGCGTTGATGACTACGTGTGGTGAAATGTCCCTTCGCGCTATCAGTGTGGCACTGGCGCTGTCGTCCTCCGCTCTCTCAGCCGGCGGCTCCACCCAGCTCCATCGGCTCGAGGTTCGAGTCTTCCAGGGTGGAAACGGGCAGACCCCTACGAGGACGTCCTCTGGCTGCCAGCAGGTTGTCCAACCGAATGACCATGCCCACCAGTTTATTGAAGAACAACATGGTGTCCCGGCAGGCTAGCTCCCGTCGGACGTCCTCCCGCAGATGGCACCGGAAATGGACGATCAGGGCCCGCTCGTTCCACCCGGACCCCGCTGCCAGCATCGGGAACTCCAACGCGAAGTCCTGCGTGGTCCTCGTGTTCTGCCTCAGGTGGACCAGTCGCTCACCTGCCTCTCGACCCTCGGGCGAGTGGTCGAATACCGCCCGAAAGATGCAAGCAAACTCCCTGTAGTCCTCCAACGCGGCTCCTCCTTCGTTCCACACCGCGTTGGCCCACTCCATGGCTTTCCCACAGAGGCAGGAAACGAGGACGGACACCTTCTCCCGCTCCGATGGTGCCGGCCTGATGCTGGCAAAGTAAGGCTCCAATTGGAGGAGGAATCCCTGGCACTGCGCCGCTGTCCCCTCAAACGCCCGTGGTCGGGAAATCTGGATCCCTCCTGGTGCTAGGGTGTAGGTGGCTGAATCCGGTTGGCCAGCTGGTCTCGTCAGATCAGGTCTGCTCCTCTCCAGGCGTTGGACGACCTGAAGAACCCGATCCATCGCTTCCCCCAAGCTGGCCAGCATCGTGGAGTTACTCCTGGACCCATGCCATGACTCCAGGCATGCGCTCTTCTCCCGCTGACTCCATAGCAAGGTGGGTGATTCTGTGATGCGTGTGATAGGAGTCAGGCGCAGGAGAGTAATACGCATCCAAAAAGTTTATTCCGTCGATAAACAGTTGCGCAAACATGCGACAACAAAACTCAGGCACAGGGGAAATATCTACCCTGGCAACAACAAGGTAAGGGTAGCTCAACCGAGCTACACACAGCTCACTACAAACAATCACCCACACAGACAAGGAAGCAGAGGGAACACTTATACAATGACTAATTGGGGATAAGGACCAGGTGTGTGTGATTAATTAGACAAGACTAGTGGAGTGATGATAAATGGATCGGCAGCAGCTAGTAAGCCGGTGACGACGAACGCCGAAACCTGCCCGAACAAGGAGGGGAGGCAGCCTCGGCGGAAGTCGTGACAGCACTGCTACTGCGGGTTATAATTCTGATGCCAAAGAAAAAAAGGTGATCATGAAGAATAAAGTGCTGTATATCCAGATTAACAAAGAGGATTTTGAAAGATAATCCTATTAAATGTACCCTTTTACAAGAGTATATAATTTAGAATAGAGGCTGGATGATAGGGCGCTAGATGTAGCATATCCAAAGCAGTTCAAGTGTTTGCTAAGAAGAAAAAAAACTGTGAAAAAAACTTGAAACTTGAACTCAGCAGTACTATCTTGCCAAGAACTTCCTTCAAATCATATCTCTGCCTCTAGGCATTTCCTGAGATAGGTCTGAGTGGGCTGCCCCTGCCCTATAAGGAGAGTTCCCTCCTTTCTCCAACTCTACTCTGAGGATGGGACAACTCATGAGATATTTCAAATCAAATCAAACTTTATTTGTCACATGCGCCGAATACGACAACCTTACCGTGAAATGCTTACTTACAAGCCCATAACCAACAATGCAGTTAAAGAAAGAGTTAATGAAATATTTACCATATAAACTAAAGTAAAAAATATTAAAAAGTAACACAATAAAATAACAATAACGAGGCTATATACAGGGGGTACCGGTACTGGGTCAATGTGCGGGGTTACAGGTTGGTCGAGGTAATTTGTACATGTAGGTAGGGGTAAAGTGACTATGCATAGATAATAGACAGCGGGTAACAGCAGTGTAAAAACAAATGGAAGGGGGAGGTCAATGTAAATAGTCTGGGTGGCCATTTGATTAATTGTTCAGCAGTCTGATGGCTCGGGGGTAGAAGCTGTTAAGGAGCCTTTTGGTCCTAGACTTGGCACTTCGGTACCACTTGCCGTGCGGTAGCAGAGAGAACAGTCTGACTTGGGTGACTGGAGTCTTTGACAATTTTTTGGCCTTTCCTCTGACACCGCCTAGTATATAGGTCCTAGATGGCAGGAAGCTTGGCCCCAGTGATGTACTGGGCCGTAAGTACTAACATCTGTAGCACCTTACGGTCAGATGCCGAGCAGTTGCCATACCAGGTGGTGATGCAACCGGTCAGGATGCTCTCAATGTGTGCAGCTGTAGAACTTTTTGAGGATCTGGGGACCCCATGCCAAATCTTTCAGTCTCCTGAGGGGGAAAGGCATTGTCGTGCCCTCTTCACGACTGTCTTGATGTGTTTGGACCATGATAGTTTGTTGGTGATGTGGACACCAAGGAACTTGAAACTCTCGACCCGCTCCACTACAGCCCCGTCAATGTTAATGGGGGAATGTTCGGCCCGCCTTTTCCTGTAGTCCACGATCAGCTCCTTTGTCTTGCTCACATTGAGGGAGAGGTTGTTGTCCTGGCACCACACTGCCAGGTCTCTGACCTCCTCCCTATAGGCTGTCTCATCGTTGTCGGTGATCAGGCCTACCACTATTGTGTTGTCAGCAGACTTAATGATGGTGTTGGAGTCGTGTTTGGCCAAGCAGTGGTGGGTGAACAGGGAGTACAGGAGGGGTCTAAGCACGCACCACTGAGGGGCCCCAGTGTTGAGGATCAGCGTGGCAGACGTGTTGTTGCCTACCCTTACTACCTGGGGGCGGCCCGTCAGAAAGTTCAGGATCCAGTTGCAGAGGGAGGTGTTTAGTCCAAGGGTCCTTAGCTTAGTGATGAGCTTTGTGGGCACTATGGTGTTGATCGCTGAGCTATAGTCAATGAACAGCATTCTCACATAGGTGTTCCTTTTGTCCAGGTGGGAAAGGGCAGTGTGGTGTGTGATTGAGATTGCGTCATCTGTGGATCTGTTGGGGCGATATGCGAATTGGAGTGGGTCTAGGGTATCCGGGATGATGCTGTTGATGTGAGCCATGACCAGCCTTTCAAAGCACTTCATGGCTACCGACGTGAGTGCTATGGGGCGGTAACCATTTAAGGCAGGTTACCTTCGCTTCCTTGGGCACAGGGACTATGGTGGTCTGCTTGAAACATGTAGGTATTACAGACTCAGTCAGGGAGAGGTTGAAAATGTCAGTGAAGACACTTGCCAGTTGGTCCGCACATGTTTTGAGTACACGTCCTGGTAATCCATCTGGCCCTGTGGCTTTGTGAATGTTGACCTGTTTAAAGGTCTTGCTCACATAGGCTACCGAGAGCGTTATCACACAGTCGTCCAGAACAACTGGTGCTCTAATGCATGAATCAGTGTTGCTTGCCTCGAAGTGAGCATAAAAGGCATTTAGCTCGTCTGGTAGGCTTGCGTCACTGGGCAGCTCGCGGCTGGGTTTCCCTTTGTAGTCCATAATAGTTTTCAAGCCCTGCCACATCCGACGAGCGTCAGAGCCGGTGTAGTAGGATTCAATCTTAATAATAATATGCCATTTAGCAGACGCTTTTATCCACAGCGACTTACAGTCATGCGTGCATATTTTTTTTTGTGTGTGGGTGGTCCCGGGGATCGAACCCACTACCCTGCCGTTACAAGCGCCGTGCTCTACGCTTAGCCTGTTTGATGGTTCGTCTGAGGGCGTAGCGGGATTTCTTATAAGCGTCCAAATTAGTGTCCCGCTCCTTGAAAGCGGCAGCTCTAGCCTTTAGCTCGATGCGGATGTTGCCTGTAATCTATGGCTTCTGGTTGGGATATGTACGTACGGTCACTGTGGGGACGTCGTCAATCGATGCACTAGTTGATGAAGCCGATGACTGAGGTGGTATACTCCTCAATGCCATTGGATGAATCCCGGGAACATATTCCAGTCTGTGCTAGCAAAACAGTCCTGTAGCATCCGCGTCATCTGACCACTTCCGTATTGAGCGAGTCACTGGTAGTTCCTGCTTTAGTTTTTGCTTGTAAGCAGGAATCAGGAGGATATCATTATGGTCAGATTTGCCAAATGGAGGTTGAGGGAGAGCTTTGTATGCGTCTCTGTGTGTGGAGTAAAGGTGGTCTAGAGTTTTTTTCCCTCTGGTTGCACATGTGACATGCTGGTAGAAATTAGGTAAAACGGATTTAAGTTTGCCTGCATTAAAGTCCCTGGCCACTAGGAGCGCCGCTTCTGGATGAGCATTTTCTTGTTTTCTCATGGCCTCATACAGCTGATTGAGTGCGGTCTTAGTGCCAGCATCGGTTTGTGGTGGTAAATAGACGGCTACGAATAATATAGATGAGAACTCTCTTGGTAGATAGTGTGGTCTACAGCTTATCATAAGGTACTCTACCTCAGGCGAGCAATACCTCGAGACTTCTTTAATATTAGACATTAATATTTTGCACAGAATTCCATAGGTAACCTGATAATGATGTTGTGACATAGCTAGAGAATGTGAAATGTTTCATCATTGTAACATCCACACTGATATCTATCCAAAATGTACATCTTAGCACTATTGATAAAACAATCCTACAGTGTTAGAACAATGGTATTGTCCCTTGGAGGTTATTGGTAAAATGACCAGTCAATTTATAAAGAGATAGATAGCGCAGGACCTGAATCCACATTTACTTCAGTAATGACAGCAGTCATTTTTGCGAAAAACAGTAGATGGCACAAGCACCCCTATTTGACCAAAGCACATTGACATTGCGCAAGAAGAAGTCCAAATGCGGAAGTAGACTACGTCATCAAAGTTGGCATGCCGTCGTACGCGCGTGGCGAAAATGGTGTCTGGTGCTGAACAACAACAGGGCCACAGAGCAGGGGTTTATAAACAGAAAAATAAAGGACATAAACATGGCAAACATCGGACGAAAGGAGAAATCGAACGGGAGAACAAGGGTACGTTTTTGAATGAGGAATGTGGCCCTTTCTGTCGCTGGTTGTAGCAATGGACATGCTGCTGCTGTCGAACACGTGCTTCAAGTTATGTTTCGGAAGTAGCTTTAGCTGTGTATGTGGGAACTCCATACTTTCGATGTCATATCGTGAAATGAGCGTTTAATCTCACTGTCATGTAACAGTTTAGCGTTCAAGCCTTGACACATGGTAGCTGATGAAATCAAACGACGATCGTCATTAGCTTGCGATAAGAAAGCATTACACATCACAATTCTGTAGCTAGACACATGGATGTGTCAAGGCTAGTAACTTAACAGTTCGTGGTAGTGTCTGTCAGTAATCACATCAACAGGACCATTCTCAAAACGCTCCCGTTACATTAGCGGACTAAACTCCACTCCATGGTGAAGGACATTTCTGATAACTCCACCAATGGAGTGGAACAGAAACCAGGCTTTATGGAATCTAGCTCCGACTAAATCGATTCGTCCAAGGTCAATACTTAAAAAAATGAACATTACGAAACGCCTACCTTGTACCCATGTTTGTCTTCTGTAGATACGTGCCTTTCTTTATTTGCAGAAATCCATATATTTTCAATAAACATTAATCAAATACAACCACTGACAGTTTCCTTGTTGAGATTCAATTGGCATTTGCGCTGTGTTGCCATCTTAGAGCAACAGCAATGAGCAAACAGTGGTTGTATTTGATTAACGTTTATTGAAAATGTATAGATTTCATAATTAACGTTTTTTGAAGTATTGAGGTTGGGCGAATCGATGTAGTCAGAGCTAGATTCCACAAAGCCTGGTCTCTGCTCCACTCTGTTGGTGGAGTCATCAGAAACTTCCTTAACCATGGAGTGGAGTTTAGTCCGCTACCCTTACATCAACTGTAATTGTCTGTTAGTGCACATGTTGGTAGCCGATCTCTGTCATGTACCTTTGAATGATGTCATCCCCAACAGGTAGAGTGTCGGTGACTGCTCTTACCAAGAAACAGAGGAAAGAGGCGAGAAAGATGGACAAAAGACACAAAGCCAACCAGCTGCGGCAAAATAAGAAGGACCTGGTAAGATGCTCTTGCATTTGACACAATGTCACTTTGGAACCACAGTGGTATGAATCGGACAAGTTAAAGGTAGACTCAGCGTTATGAAATTCCAACAAGGAGCACCGCAGATATTGAGATGAACGTGATGCAAGACTTTGCATTCACACAGAGTATCTGCTACAACGTGGTAGCTACAGGACCAAAACAGAGGAGAAGTTTAACATCGATGCGTTCTTAATTGTTGTGGAAATCGTCCCGATATTGCTATTACTTCATGCATTGCTGAGTCTACCTTTTAATGCTACGTGTTTGTCCTGTCCAGGTCCTGGCAGAGAAACGTCGTCTGGGCAGCAGGGATGGCCCACCCCACCTGGTGGCTGTGGTTGCCCTCCATGCAGGTGTGGATGCTGAGGCTGTGACCAGGCTGCTGCGGTGTGAGGAGGCTGGCGGGCTGGTGCGTGAGGAGAACAGTGTGTGCGGGGTCAGTGACAGCTTTGGCCTGGTCATGCCCCGCTTCAAACAGAGGTTCACCTTCCTCCGCCCAGACACAGGTAACTCACCGACTTGGCTACTACAATGTGATTGTGTTGTCAACACTAAAGTTATATAGATAATGACCTGATACTGATTTATAGTTTATGTAAGTATAATCCATGTCTGGCTGTACCGAACATTTATAAGGGGCATTCTGAGTAATTCATTTACATTTTAATAATTTAGCAGACGCTCTTATCCAGTGCGACTTACAGGAGCAATTAGGGTTAAGTGCCTTGCTCAAGGGCACATCGACATATTTTCCACCTAGTCGGCTCGGGGATTCGAACCAGTGACCTTTCGGTTACTGGCCTAATGCTCTTAACCGCTAGGCTACCTGCCATCATTCGATGCTAACACTAGTTCTGATCCGGTAACATTACCTCTGACTCTATGTCCTCCCTCTCCCTTCTCTCTCTAGCTGACATGCACTCTCTACTGGACGTGGTGAAGGTAGCAGACAGTCTGGTGTTTGTGCTGGACTCTACAGAAGGCTGGGACAGCTATGGAGACCACTGCCTCTCCTGTCTCTTTTCACAGGGGCTGCCCGCCCATGGTGAGCTTCCATACAAGCTATCCCAAATAGATGCTCACAGTACACTGGATTTTGTTCAACTTTTCCTCTCCCCTTGCTGATTAGCTAAATGTTTAGCAGATTACATACTGTAGATATTATACTGATTATTTTACTCAAAATCAACTACCCAACCCCTTTTCTCTGCATACACTGTCATCTCTATTCTATATAACCTCCACTTCTCTCTCCTGTCATCTCTATCCTATATAACCTCCACTTCTCTCTCCTGTCATCTCTATCCTATATAACCTCCACTTCTCTCTCCTGTCATCTCTATCCTATATAACCTCCACTTCTCTCTCCTGTCAGCTCTATCCTATATAACCTCCACTTCTCTCTCCTGTCATCTCTATCCTATATAACCTCCACTTCTCTCTCCTGTCATCTCTATCCTATATAACCTCCACTTCTCTCTCCCCCAGCTCTGGTGTGTCAGGGTGTTTCAGACCTGGCAGTGAAGAAGCGTGTGGACTCACGGCGGGCGCTGGCCAAGATATCCGAAATCCGCTTCCCTGGGGCGCGCCTCTTCCCCCTGGACTCAGACCAGGACGCCATACTGATGCTCAGACACCTGGGAGCACAGAGGCAGAGGAGGCTGGGCTTCCGCTCCCGTCGACCTCACCTCCTGGCCCAGCAGGTCTCCTACACCCCCAACAGCTCTGAGGAGGGGAGCGGGGGAGCCCCCATGGGCCTGGGGACCCTGCGTGTGTCTGGGTATGTCCGAGGCTGCCCTCTGCAGGTGGACAGGCTGGTGCACATCTCTGGATTTGGAGACTTCCAGCTCAGTCAGATCGATGCGCCCATAGACCCTCTTCCCCTCAACTCTATGACCCCTCGCCCTGCCAAGCCAGGGAAGGAAGGAGACGTAGACATGCAGGTGGGTCTCTCAAAATCAAACCAAATGTATTTATAAAGCCCTTTTACATCAGCAGATATCGCAAAGTGCTTATACAGAAACCCAGCCTAAAACCCCAAAGAGCAAGCGATGCAGATGGAGAAGCACAGTGGTTAGGAAAAACTCCCTAGGAAGAAACCTAGAGAGGAGCCAGTCTCTGAGGGGTGGCCAGTCCTCTTCTGGCTGAGATTTAGAAGAGTACATGGCCATTAAGGCCAGATCGTTCTTCAAGATGTTCAAATGTTCATAGATGACCAGCAGAGTCAAATAATAATCACAATGGTTGTAGAGGTTGCAACAGGTCAGTACATTAGGAGTAAATGTCAGTTGGCTTTTCATAGCCGAGCATTCAGAGGTTGAGGCTGCAGGTGCGGTAGAGAGAGGAAAACAGCAGGTCCGGGACAAGGTAGCACGTCCGGTGAACAGGTCAGGGTTCCATAGGCAGAACAGTTAACTGGAGCAGCAGCACCACCTGGGTTACAGGGACAGCCAGGAGTCATCAGGCCAGGTAGGCCTGAGGCATTGTCCTAGGGCTCAGGTTGTCCGGGAGGGGAGGGAGAGAGAATTAGAGGGTGCATACTTAAATTCACACGGGACACCAGATAAGACAGGAGAATTTCACCAGATAGGACAGACTGACCCTAGCCCCCCCGGCACATAGACTACTGTAGCATAGATAATGGAGGCTGAGACGGTGATTCGAGGGACACTGTGGGCCTGTCTGCCGATACCCCCGGACAGGGCCAACCAGGCAGGATATAACCCCACCCACTTTGCCAAAGCACAGCCCCCACACCACTGGAGGGATATCAACAGACCACCAATTTACTGAGTATAGCCCACGAAGATCTCCTCCACTGCACGTGCCCGAGGGGGCGCAAAACCGGACAGGAAGATCACGTCAGTGACTCAACCCCCGGTCAGAGGCAGAGAATCCTAGTGGAGAGAGGGGAGCCGGCCAGGTAGAGACGGCAAGGGTGGTTTGTCACTCCATTGCCTTGCCCTTCACCTTAGTACCCCTGGGTCAGACTACACTCAATCATAGGACCTACTGAAGAGATGTCTTCAGTAAGACTTAAGGGTCGAGACGGAGTCGGAGTCTCTCTCAAGGATCAGCAGACCATTCCGTAAAAATGTTGCTCTATAGGAGAAAGCCCTGCCTCCAGCTGTTTGCTTAGAAATTCGAGGGACAATGAGGACTGCGTCTTGTGACCGTAGCGTACGTGTAGGTATGTACGGCAGGACCAAGTCGGAGAGATGGGTAGGAGTAAGTCCAGGTAATGCTTTGTAGGTTAGTAGTAAAACCTTGAAATCAGCCCTAGCCTTAACAGGAAGCCAGTGTAGAGAGGCTAGAACAGGAGTAATATGATCAATTTATTTAGGTTCTAGTCAAGATTCTAGCAGCCGTGTTTAGCACTAACTGAAGTTTATTTAGTGCTTTATCCGGGTAGCCGGAGAGTAGAGCATTGCAGTACTCTAATCTAGAATGGCATGGATTAGCTTTTCTGCATCATTTCTGGACAAAAGGTTACTGATTTTTGCAATGTTACGAAGATGGTCACAGCTTATCACGGGCTGATATCATTACATTGAAAATTGACAGTGATTTAATTAATCATTTACAAACACTAGTAAAGACATTTATCAGCGCTGCTTCTGCTCGTTGACAGTAGGTGCTAACTGCTCTCTATGCGTTTCAGGATGGTGGTGTTGATGAGGTGGCATCAGTGCGGGTGCTGATGAAGGCAGACCCAGCTCGCAGGGAGAGTCTGCAGGCCGAGGCAGAGGTAGACCCCATGGATGGAGAGCAGACCTGGCCCACTGATACTGAACTGCTGGAGGCTGAAGGTAAAGGGAGAGAGTGGGCAGAGTTGTAGAGGGTCGCTACATTGAATTACATGATAGATCTATGGTCGCAGTGCTCTTGTTGGCATGGGTACTTTGAACCGGTTCATGTCAACACATTGAGTTTACTATTCTCTCTGGGTTGACAATGTAATGAACGTATCTCTAATAAATGTTTCTCCTCGTCCTTCCCTCAGAGGCCAGAAAGAGCAAGCGTGTTATGAAGGTGCCTAAGGGGACATCAGACTACCAGGCCACGTGGATTGTGGATGAGGAGGATGAGAATTGCGAGGAGGATGAAGAGAGCACTGACGATGAGGATGATGAGGATTTGATGATGGACGAGTCCATAGATGGAGAGGACCTTGACTCTCAGGTGGTGAGTACACTCCACAGCCTGGGAAACTGAAAAGGCTGCACAGAAGAATGCTTATGTATGTATTTCCGGCACGTATAGCATTAGTTTCAAGTTTTAATGTCACGTGCACAAGTACAGTGAAATGCCTTTCTTGCAAGCACTAAACCCAACAATGCAGTAATCCATATCAATGAAATACTAAAAAATAACAAGGTAGAACAAAAACACGTGAGAAATAGAAATTAGAACACGAGAAAGTAAGAAGCTATATACAGGGTCAGTTTCAATACCATATTTACAATGTGCAGGAATACTGGGGTGATAGAGGATGATATGTATAGGGGTAAGATGACTAGGCATCAGGATGTAAGACAGAGTAGCAGCAGCGTAAATGAAGATTGTATGTGAGTGTGTGTCGAGTCAGTATGAATGTGTGCATGTTATCTGTTAGTTTGTTGTGGTGTCAGTGTGCGTGAATGTGTAGAGTCCTATGAGTGTTCATAGAGACGGTGGAAAAAGAAATACAAGGGTTAACTCAGTCCGCGTAGCCATTTAATACAGAAGAAAGAGCGACAACCGTTGTGCTGACCACATCCTGTCCCAGGGCATTGGGTGCACTGCTAAGGTGTTTGTTTACCCTCTGCCTGTTGCCATGGCAATAGTGAAACCACTAAAGATAAGCAGAAGAGGTAGTGCAAGGAGAAGAGGGTGATCCGTTGGTAGTCTGAGTTGATTGTTGAGATGTCTGAACTGATGTGGGGTGATGCGGAAGACGTCAGGGGGAAGCAGCTCGGACAGGACAATGATTGGTGGAGAAAAAAAGTGGCGGACGCCGAACAGTTCAGTGTGTGGTTGGGGGTGGAAGAGTGTATACGTGACCCGTGGTTAGTGCGCAGTGCGGCACAGCACCACTGTTTGTTTTCTCAGTGTCTGCCTCTGGGCTGTAGTGCCAGGCTGCTCACCTTGGCAACAATAGTGTTTGGAGCAGGGGTCCCGAGAGAAGCCTCCTGACTTCCTGCTCCGTGGACACAACTTCCTGTCTGGACCAGGGGAGGGGCCGGCCATTTATTTATAACAGCCCTGCTTGAAAGAAGGGGGGAAAATCTTCAATGGTCGAAAAGGTTCAGCTCCAGTTATTAGCATGTGTTTGATGTCGGGGTTAGACAGGATTTAACATCTAGGAGATGTTAACAATGGATGAAATGGTGCTGATCATTATTATTATTGCAGCTGGGATTGTTCTAAAGGTTGTGAATCTACCCCATGCAGTGTGGATTCCCCCCTCATGTATCTCTCGCTTACTGTAGTGCCACTTCCGTGAGAACCACTTGTACACTTCTTCTAACTTCATTACTGGAAATTAGGTTTATAACTAGTATAAAGGCCTTGTCTTTAACCTAATTTAAGACCAGTTGTTCACATTACATATATGATGTAGTAGTATACAGCTCTGCAGTAGAAACTTGTGATGGGGGGAAAAATCGATAGTTACATGTCGGGATATAATTTGACGATATATCGTATTGTTTTGACAATATCACAATATTATTTTTGCGCTAGTTGGCTGTACCTGCACCAAAACTCAAGTATTTTCCCCTTCATAGCTTGTTCTCCATCTTCTTTTTAAAGGAGACCAGTTTTTCACCACTTTTATTTCTATGACTGTTCAACTCATTTTCTCATGGCTCTCTCTTGTCCCTCTGCAGTAGACATATGGTGAGAAATATGTTTGGAACATCGAATTGCAATAAAATCACAGTATTGATCCGCAAGACGTATAGAATCGTGAGAATCACGATACATATCGAATCGGCACCGAAGTATCGTGATAATATCGTATTGTGAGGTGCCTGGCAATTCCCAGCCCTAGTAGAAACTTCCTGTCTTTTCCTGTTTGGTTTAGGATGCTGCTTCAGGTGGTGGCTCTGATGAGGAGGATGAGGAGGAAGAGCTGAATTCCACATCAGACAAGGGTGGAGCAGACCAGCGTTATGATGAGCACATGGATGAGGCGGAGGAAGGGGAGGGCTTAAAACGCTACAGGGAGGCTCGGGCCAATGAGATGTTCCCAGATGAAGTGGACACACCTCTAGACCAATCGGCTAAGAACAGGTAAGGGCATGACTATCATATTGTCTACTACCAAACACAGTGGCCCCTTACTTTTCCTTCAGTGCAGTATAGGACCCTCTGCTCTCAGTGTAGGCTACAACACAGAGGGGGCTGTCTAAGCAAAACCATTCAACCGATCCATGAAAACGACATGCAACATCGGCAGTTGACCCATGGCTCACACACAGGTAACTGCCAAAATAAAGGAAATGGCAACATAAAGTGTCTTAATAGGGCATTGGGTCGCCAAAACAGCTTCAGTGCACCTTGGCATAGATTCTACAAGTGTCTGGAACTCTATTGGAGTGATGCGACACCATTCTTACACGATAAATTCAGTCTTTTGGTGTTTTGTTGATCGTGGTGGAAAACGCTGTCTCGGGTGCCGCTCCAGAATCTCCGATAAGTGTTAAATTGGGTGACTGGTGACTAAGACACACATACCCTTTAAACCCCCTATGCTCCTTTGAGACCCCTCTTTCAAGGTCACTGAGATCTCTTCTTCCAGCCATGGTAGCCAAAATAATGGGCAACTGGACCTATTTATACATGACCCTAAGCATGTTACCTTTATTTAGGCAGTTACCTGTACATTTGAGTTGATATTTACATTTGGGAAAATGGTCACGCAGAATGTGATAACCTTGAAGAACAGATCATTTCCAGCCAGTGACTTGATCCTGACCTCTAATCAAAGGGCCAGTGCACTCCAAGATTTAACATTTATTTGAGCAACACTCAGGGGAAAGTCTGAGGGGGGAGGAATGCACCAAACAAGTCGAACAGATGGTCATATGTAATAGACAATGCCTTCGAGCCGTTAACGCCCAAACTTTACTTTCCAGGAAGACTGGCCCAGCGTAATTACTAAGCTATATGTTGACGTTGCTAATTTCCTGTGTGCTCAGGTTCCAGCGTTATAGGGGCCTGAAGAGTTTCCGCTCCTCCCCCTGGGACCCCATGGAGAACCTGCCTGCAGACTACTCCCGCATCTTCCAGTTCCAGAGCTTTGAGCGCACACGCCGCCGCGTACTAGCGGAGGCTGCGCAGGAGGAAGAGGGGGCCATGGTAAGAGGCTGCCGTGTGTGTGACATGTTTCAACCCTGTTCCCTCTCTGTGCCCCCAATCTATTAAGTCTGCTCTGCTCTCTAGGTGGGCTGGTATGTGACCCTCCATGTAGTGGATGTACCCCCCACGGTGATGGAGAGTGTCCAGGCAGGCAGGCCTCTGGTGCTGATCTCCTTACTGCCACATGAACAGAAGGTATACTGTATTGGGATACTCCTGAATTATTGTGTCCTAAGTCTAAAAGTTAATAATTGTAACCCATTTCTGCTGTAAAATATGTTGGTAAAGGTGTAGACAAACTACAGAAAAATATAAATTATGAATATATATACACACTACCGTTCAAAAGTTTGGGGTCACTTAGAGATTTCCTTGTTTTCGAAAGAAACAATTTTATTTCACCTTTACTTAACCAGGTAAGACAGTTGAGAACAAGTTCTCATTGCGACTAGTTGAGTATCTGGAGCATCAGCCATTGTGGGTTCGATTACAGGCTCAAAATGGCCAGAAACAAATCACTTTCTTCTGAAACTCGTCAGTCTATTCTTGTTCTGAGAAATGAAGGCTATTCGATGCGAGAAATTGCCAAGAAACTGAAGATCTCGTACAATGCTGTGTACTACTCCCTCCACAGAACAGCGCAAACAGGCTCTAACCAGAATAGAAAGAGGAGTGGGAGGCCCCGGTGCACAACTGAGCAAGAGGACTAATACATTAGTGTCTAGTTTGAGAAACAGACGCCTCACAGGTCCTCAACTGGCAGCTTCATTAAATAGTACCCGCAAAACACCAGTCTCAACGTCAACAGTGAAGAGGCGACTCCGGGATGCTGACCTTCTAGGCAGAGTTGCAAAGAAAAAGCCATATCTCAGACTGCCCATCTTAATCTTTTCTTTTTATTGGCCAGTCTGAGATATGGATTTTTCTTTGCCACCCTGCCTAGAAGGTCAGCATCCCGGAGTCGCCTCTTCACTGTTGACATTGAGACTGGTGTTTTGCGGGTACTATTTAATGAAGCTGCCAGTTGAGGACCTATGAGGGGTCTGTTTCTCAAACTAGACACTCTAACAGCTTTGCACACTCTTGGCATTCTCTCAACCAGCTTCACCTGGAATGCTTTTCCAACAGTCTTGAAGGAGTTCCTATAGTGAGGGAAAAAAGTATTTGATCCCCTGCTGATTTTGTACGTTTGCCCACTGACAAAGACATGATCAGTCTATAATTTTAATGGTAGGTTTATTTGAAGAGTGAGAGACAGAATAACAACAAAAAAATCCAGAAAAACGCATGTCAAAATGTTTTACATTTATTTGAATTTTAATGAGGGAAATAAGTATTTGACCCCTCTGCAAAACATGACTTAGTACTTGGTGGCAAAACCCTTGTTGGCAATCACAGAGGTCAGACGTTTCTTGTAGTTGGCCACCAGGTTTGCACACATCTCAGGAGGGATTTTGTCCCACTCCTCTTTGCAGATCTTCTCCCAAGTCATTAAGGTTTCGAGGCTGACGTTTGGCAACTCGAACCTTCAGCTCCCTCCACAGATTTTCTATGGGATTAAGGTCTGGAGACTGGCTAGGCCATTCCAGGACCTTAATGTGCTTCTTCTTGAGCCACTCTTTTGTTGCCTTGGCCATGTGTTTTGGGTCATTGTCATGCTGGAATACCCATCCACGACCCATTTTCAATGCCCTGGCTGAGGGAAGGAGGTTCTCACCCAAGATTTGACGGTACATGGCCCTGTCCATCGTTCCTTTGATGTGGTAAAGTTGTCCTGGCCCCTTAGCAGAAAAACACCCCCAAAGCATAATGTTTCCACCTCCATGTTTGACGGTGGGGATGGTGTTCTTGGGGTCATAGGCAGCATTCCTCCTCCTCCAAACACAGCGAGTTGAGTTGATGCCAAAGAGATCGATTTTGGTCTCATCTGACCACAACACTTTCACCCAGTTCTCAGCTGAATCATTCAGATGTTCATTGGCAAACTTCAGACGGGTCTGTATATGTGCTTTCTTGAGCAGGGGGACCTTGCGGGCGCTGCAGGATTTCAGTCCTTCACGGCATAGTGTGTTACCAATTGTTTTCTTGGGGACTATGATCCCAGTTGCCTTGAAATCATTGACAAGATTCTCCCGTGTAGTTCTGGGCTGATTCCTCACCGTTCTCATGATCATTGCAACTCCACGAGGTGAGATCCTGCATGGAGCCCCAGGCCGAGGGAGATTGACAGTTATTTTGTGTTTCTTCCATTTGCGAATAATCGCACCAACTGTTGTCACCTTCTCACCAAGCTGCTTGGCGATGGTTTTGTAGCCCATTCCAGCCTTGTGTAGGTCTACAATCTTGTCCCTGACATACTTGGAGAGCTCTTTGGTCTTGGTCATGGTGGAGAGTTTGGAATCTGATTGATTGCTTCTGTGGACAGGTGTCTTTTATACAGGTAACAAGCTAAGATTATGAGTACTCCCTTTAAGAGTGTGCTCCTAATCTCAGCTCGTTACCTGTATAAAAGACACCTGGGAGCCAGAAATCTTTCTGATTGAGAGGGGGTCAAATACTTATTTCCCTAATTAAAATGCAAATCAATTTATAACATTTTTGACATGTGTTTTTCTGGATTTTTTTGTTGTCATTCTATCTCTCACTGTTCAAATAAACCTACCATTATAATTATAGACAGATAATTTCTTTGTCAGTGGGCAAACGTACAAAATCAGCAGGGGATCAAATACTTTTCCCCCTCACTGTACATATGCTGAGCACTTGTTGGCTGCTTTTCCTTCACTCTGCGGTCCGACTCATCCCAAACCATCTCAATTTATTTGAGGTCGGGGGATTTTGGAGGCCAGGTCATCTGATGCAGCACTGCATCACTCTCCTTCTTGGTAAAATAGCACTTACACAGCCTGAAGGTGTGTTGGGTCATTGTCCTGTTGAAAAACAAATGATAGTCCCACTAAGCCCAAATCAGATGGGATGGTGTATCGCTGCAGAATGCTGTGGTAGCCATGCTGGTTAAGTGTGCCTTGAATTCTAAATAAATCACAGACAGTGTCACCAGCAAAGCACCCCCACAACATAACACCTCCTCCTCCATGCTTTACGGTGTGAAATACACATGCGGAGATCATCCGTTCACCCACACCGCGTCTCACAAAGAAATGGCGGCTGGAACCAAAGATCTCCAATTTGGACTCCAGACCAAAGGACACATTTCCACCGGTCTAATGTCCATTGCTCGTGTTTCTTGGCCCAAGCACGTCTCTTCTTCTTATTGGTGTCCTTTAGTAGTGGTTTCTTTGCAGCAATTTGACGATGAAGGCCTGATTCACGCAGTCTCCTCTGAAGAGTTGATGTTGAGATGTCTTTTACTTGAACTATAAAGCATTTATTTGGTCTGCAATTTCTGAGGCTGGTAACTCTAATGAATTTATTCTCTACAGCAGAGGTAACTCTGGGTCTTCCATTCCTTTGGCGGTCCTCATGAGAGCCAGTTTCATCATAGCGCTTGATGGTTTTTGCGACTACACTTTTAGAAACGTTCCGTATTGACTGACCTTCATGTCTTAAAGTAATGATGGACTGTTGTTTCTCTTTGCTTATTTGAGCTGTTCTTGCCATAATATGGACTTGGTCTTCTACCAAATAGGGCTATCTTCTGTATTCCCCCTACCTTGTCACAACACAACTGATTAGCTCAAACGCATTAAGAAGGAAAGAAATTCCACAAATTACCTTTTAAGAAGGCACACCTGTTAATTGAAATGCATTCCAGGTGACTACCTAATGAAGCTGGTTGAGAGAATTCCAAGAGTGTGCAAAGCTGTCATCAAGGCAAAGTGTGGCTATTTGAAGAATCTCAAATATAAAATATATTTTGATTTGTTTAACACTTTTTTGGTTACTACATGATTCCATATGTGTTATTTCATAGTTTTGATGTCTTCACTATATATCTACAATGTAAAAATAAGAAAAACCCTTGAATGAGTAGGTGTGACTTTTGACTGGTAGTGTACATGAACAATGATTGTAAAGCTTAGAAAAACAATAAAACACTATGCACAATGACTACCTTTAACAATTTCCACAGAAAATTGAACCAAACACATTTACTTGAAGAACAGAATGACTGCACAAACAGCACAAACCGTCATTCTGTTACCAAATATAAAATATATTTTCATTTGTTTAACACTTTTTGGGTTACTACAGTGGCTTGCGAAAGTGTTCACCCCCCTTGGCATTTTTCCTATTTTGTTGCCTTACAACCTGGAATTAAAATTGATTTTTTGGGGGGTTTTATCATTTGATTTACACAACATACCTACTACTTTGAAGATGCAGAATATTTTTTATTGTGAAACAAACAAGAAATAAAACAAAAAAAACAACTTGAGTGTGCATAACTATTCACCCCCACCAAAGTAAGTCAATACTTTGTAGAGCCACCTTTTGCAGCAATTACAGCTGCAAGTCTCTTGGGGTATGTCTCTATAAGCTTGGCACAGCTAGCCACTGGGATTTTTGCCCATTCTTCAAGGCAATACTGCTCCAGATCCTTCAAGTTGGATGGGTTCTGCTGGTGTACAGCAATCTTTAAGTCATACCACAGATTCTCAGTTGGATTGAGGTCTGGGCTTTGACTAGGCCATTCCAAGACATTTAAATGTTTCCCTTTAAACCACTCGAGTGTTGCTTTAGCAGTATGCTTAGGGTCATTGTCCTGCTGGAAGGTGAACCTCTGACCCAGTCTCTCAAATCTCTGGAAGACTGAAACAGGTTTCCCTCAAGAATTTCCCTGTATTTAGCGCCATCCATCATTCCTTAAATTCTGACCACTTTATTCTGGCCACTCTTCCGTAAAGCCCAGCTCTGTGGAGTGTACGGCTTAAAGTGGTCCTATGGACAGATACTCCAATCTCCGCTGTGGAGCTTTGCAGCTCCTTCAGGGTTATCTTTTGTCTCTTTGTTGCCTCTCTGATTAATGCCCTCCTTGCCTGGTCCCTGAGTTTAGGTGGGCAGCCATATTCTTTCCATTTTTTAATAATGGATTTAATGGTGCTCCGTGGGATGTTCAAAGTTTCAGATATTTTTTTATAACCCAACCCTGATCTGTACTTCTCCTCAACTTTGTCCCTGACCTGTTTGGAGAGCTCCTTGGTCTTCATGGTACCGCTTGCTTGGTGGTGCCCCTTGCTTAGTGGTGTTGCAGATACTGGGGCCTTTCAGAACAGGTGTGTGTGTGTGTGTGTGTGTGTGTGTGTGTGTGTGTGTGTGTGTGTGTATATATATACTGAGATCATGTGACACTTAGATTGCACACAGGTGGACTTTATTTAACTAATTATTTGACTTCTGAAGGTAATTTGTTGCACCATATCTTATTTAGGGGCTTCATAGCAAAGGTGAATACTAATGCATGCACCACTTTTCCATTATTTATTTTGTAGAATTTTGAGACAAGTAATTTTTTTCATTTCACTTCACCAATTTGGACTATTTTGTGTATGTCCATTACATGAAATCCAAATAAAAATCCATTTATATTACAGGTGTAATGCAAAAAAATGGGAAGAACGCCAAGGGGGATGAATACTTTTCCAAAGGCACTATTCCATATGTGTTATTTCATAGTTTTGATGTCTTCGGTTATTCTACAATGTAGAAAATAGTAAAAAATAAAGAAAAACCCTGGAATGAGTAGGTGTTCTAAAACTTTTGACCGGTAGTGTATATACACACATATGACCAGGAGTATGTGGACACTTGCTCGTCGAACATCTCATTCCAAAATCATGGGCATTAATATGGAGTTGGTCCCCCCTTTGCTGCTATAACAGCCTCCACTCTTCTGGGAAGGCTTTCCACTAGATGTTGGAACATTGCTGCGGAGACTTGCTTCCATTCAGTCCAAGATCATTAGTGAGGTCGGACACTGATGTTGGGCGATTAGGCCTGGCTTGCAGTCGGCGTTGTAATTCATCCCAAAGGTGTTCGATGGAGTTGAGGCCAGGGCTCTGTGCTGGCCAGTCAAGTTCTTCCACACCGATCTCGACAAACAGTTTCTGTATGGACATCGCTTTGTGCACGGGGGCATTGTCTTGCTGAAAAAGGAAAGGGCCTTCTCCACAAAGTTGCAAGCACAGAATCGTCTAGAATGTCATTGTATGCTGTAGCGTTAAGATTTCCCTTCACTGGAACTAAGGGGCCTAGCCTGAACCATGAAAAACAGCCCCAGACCATTATTCCTCCTCCACCAAACTTTGCAGTTTGCACTATGCATTCGGGCAGGTAGCGTTCTTCTGGCATCCGCCAAACCAATATTTGTCCGTCGGACTGCCAGATGGTGAAGCGTGATTCATCACTCCAGATTCCAATGGTGGCAAGCTTTACACCACTCCAAACGAACAGTTCTTGTGCTGACGTTGCTTCCAGAGGCAGAGTGGGACTCGGTAGTGATTTTTGCAACCGAGGACAGATTATTTTTACGCGCTACAGCACTCAGCGGTCCTGTTCTGTGAGCTTGTGTGGCCTTCCACTTTGCGGCTGAGTCGTTGCTCCTAGACGTTTCCACTTAACAATAACAGCACTTTAAAAAACAAGCACTTGACTGGGGCAGTTCTGGCAGGGCAGAAATTTGACACTGACTTGTTGGAAAGGTGGCATCCTATGACGATGCCACGTTGAAATTCACTGAGCTCTTCAGTACGGGCCATTCTACTGCCAGTGTTTGTCTATGGGGATTGCATGGCTGTGTGCTCGATTTTATACACCTGTCGGCAATGGGTGTGGCTGAAATAGCCGAATCCACTAATTTGAAGGGGTGTCCACATACGTTTGGCTATGTAGTATGTATGTTTGTTTATTTATATATATCTAAAAATTATAATTCTAACAACCCTAGCTAATGGTCTTAACTCTATAGTTCGTTAGAAACTATTCTTCCAGCTCCTTACCCTTTGATTGCTTTCCATCCTGTGTGATCAGATGTCAGTGATGCACATGCTGGTGAGGAGACACCCCAGCAACACAGACCCTATCAAATCTAAAGAGGAGCTGGTGTTCCACTGTGGATTCAGGAGGTTCAGGGCCTGCCCCATCTTCTCCCAGCACACATCAGGTAGGGAGACCTGGCTAAACAGCACCATTTATGTCTTGAACAAAATTGAATAAAAAGTATGGCAAATATGCTGACACTGTGTGGACTGGAGTATTGTGTTTTGGCCAGCTTTCAGCACTTTAGCATTAACAAAGCAAGTGATACAACCATTCATTTTATCTGTTTATGTCTACAGTCAGTGTTAGGCTCGGTGTTGTATCTAACCTGTGATTGTCTCTCTCTCCAGCCGACAAGCACAAGCTGGAGCGTTTCCTTCGTGCCGATGCTCCAACGGTGGTTTCTGTGTATGCCCCCATCACATTCCCCACCGCTGGGGTACTGCTCTTCAAACAGAGGGAGGATGGTAAGGGCCTGGATAGTGATGTTTGACTGACTTAGTATTTCTCTACCTGTTTGAGGATGGGGAAGGACAGAGGAACACACAGCCATTCTTTGCTTCTGTGTCCATATAAATGTCTGTGTATCTGTGTGGCTGAATTTGTGTGTTTACCTGTATTTGAACCTGTATCTCTTCTGTTCTCTACTTGTATTTGAACATGTATCTCTCCTGTTTACCTGTATTTGAACCTGTATCTCTCCTGTTCTCTACCTGTATTTGAACCTGTATCTCTCCTGTTCTCTACCTGTATCTCTCCTGTTCTCTACCTGGATCTCTCCTGTTCTCTACCTGTATTTGAGCCTGTATCTCTCCTGTTCTCTACCTGTATTTGAACCTGTATCTCTCCTGTTCTCTACTTGTATTTAAACATGTATCTCTCCTGTATCTCTCCCGTTTACCTGTATTTGAGCCTGTATCTCTCCTGTTCTCTACCTGTATTTGAACCTGTATCTCTCCTGTATTTGAACCTGTATCTCTCCTGTTCTCTACCTGTATCTCTCCTGTTCTCTACCTGTATTTGAGCCTGTATCTCTCCTGATCTTTACCTGTATTTGAGCCTGTATCTCTCCTGATCTCTACCTGTATTTGAGCCTGTTTCTCTCCTGATCTCTACCTGCATTTGAGTCTGTATCTCTCCTGTTCTCTACCTGTATTTGAGCCTGTATCTCTCCTGATCTCTACCAGTATTTGAGCATGTATCTCTCCTGTTCTCTACCTGTATCTCTCCTGTATCTCTCCCGTATTTAAGCCTGTATCTCTCCTGTTCTCTCCCCCAGGCATACAGGACCTGGTGGGAACAGGCAGTCTGCTGAGCTGTGACCCCCAGCGTGTGGTGCTGAAGAGGATTGTGTTGAGTGGACACCCCTTCAAGATCAACCGCCGGTCCGCTGTCTGCAGATACATGTTCTTCAACAGGGGTGAGGGGGCACTGAGCTGAGCACTACATGTTTCCCAGTAATACCCACATAACTTCTCAGTCTGTCCCAAATGGTACCCCATTCCCTTTATAGTGCACTACTTTTGACCAGGTCCATTTGGCCCACAACTTCTGTCGTACTACCAACGTGGAAAGGAAATGGCTCTGACTCACCTGTGGTTTTCATGATGCATTTTCATTTTAATTGACCTCTGTACTCTTTTCTCTCTGATAGACGACATCCTGTGGTTTAAGCCTGTTGAGCTGAGAACCAAGTGGGGCCGGAGAGGACACATCAAGGAGGCCCTAGGTACAGAGGAAACCTAATCCTTGTCAATACTGTTCAGTGACATGAAAGAATGTTGCCTTCATTGGGCAATTGTGAAAACCTTACCTAAACCTGTATGTGGGTATGTTTTTCAGGTACTCATGGACACATGAAGTGTGTATTTGACAGCCAGATGCGGTCTCAGGATACTGTCATGATGAACCTGTATAAGAGGGTCTACCCTCGCTGGACGTATGACCCCTATGTGCCTCTGCCCCTGCCCTGGGTCAAGGGAGAAGGGACTCAGGTGCCGGATGATTTTGACATGGAGTAGGTGGAGGTCTGTTGCAAGAGGTGTGTTATGAGTGTTGGAGACTGACTTGCATGGACTGTGGCGATTACATTTTCACTCCAAGCGATGGATTGTAATTTGTATTAAATAAAACCAATTAGACCAAATCACTTGTTTCTTTATTTCATTTGAAAACATCCTTGTGGTCCAGTTAGTTCATTTACTGGCCATTAGATGGCAACAGTATATAAGAGGAAACTGGCTTTTTATTTCAGTGACTGATAGCTGGGTGGAACTGAAATCACTGATTATCTAAGCGCCATGCACTGTCATGTCCCTGTACTCAAACACAAATAACTTGATCAAACATGAAGATAATGTTGAGGCATAATCAGAGCGAGCATGTTCAGATCAATAATACTGTTGTACAGATTCCATTCTCAACTTCAACATGTTTGGCACATGAATTGCACAGAAATTTAAAATCTTAACAACCATGATCACAACTTTGGATGAACTAGCTTGCCTTTCCTATTTAGGTTCATTGCTCACTGTTGTGGGAAGTCTTCTCCAGCTCTTTCAACTACCATTCCTTTAGGTCTTTGCATTTTATTCCCATAATTGTCTTTTTTTTAAATGCAGATAGTGTACATTTGACAAAACTACAAAGAAAAATATCCACAATTTGTCTCTTAAATGTATTTATTTGATTGGTAGACTGCTTATATCCTCCACACTAGCTACGGTGTCAGACCTCTACATAGTGCCCCCTTTCCACTCCCTGGTGGTCTCTCCCTGAGCTGAAGACCCCTTTTCACCACCAGCCAGACTCGAGCAGAGAACGTGAGACCCCATGTATTCTCTCTGGATCTCCAACGCTCAAAAGTTTTACATTCCATCCCATGCTTTGTGCTCCACGGAGAAACTGTGATTTATGAATTGTAATATTTATCATAAAACTGCGCTCTTGCATGCTCGCAGCTCCATTATTCATCCGGGGTCTCTGTTGGGACTGCACCAAAGAGGCATGCCAATATGTCTGGGAAACTAGAAGGTGAAGACTTGGGGTTGGAGGAGTGGAACATGATCCAAGAATTGGAGGGGATCAAAAGTTCGTGAATATGATTACAGTGTGGAAAAAGTTGAAAAATAAAGATAAAACAATCGCACAAGAGTAATGCCTCTATTGCCTTGGGGGGCATGCCGGGAGCCCTGGATAGTTTTGCTGAAACACTCCATTTATCTGCTTCATTTGTTTACTCGTATGGATGAAGGCAAGGGCACTGAACAGTGATGTGTTGAACACATCTTGTTTAAAGCTGAAGGCAGGGGTGTGGTGTGCCTGTTATAGCTTGCTGTTCATGATCGGGGGGGGGGACCCAATATCCCCATGCGCCATGGATAATGTTTTTACAGTATGTAAAAGAATGGGACTGTCTATAGACGGCGTACACAATTTCCCTCTGACACTATCAATTTGACACCGATAAAAATGAAGTTGTTTAGGGACCAACGGCGACGCGGTAATACGGTGGAATCCAGACTAAAAAATAAGTGGTGTGTGTGCTTGGCAGTGCTGGGTACTGGCCATTGTCAGAAGGAGTTAACTAATGCTGCTGCCTGGTGGCAGACTGACTGAGGCCTGCTCTGCTTGTTGCAGCAATGTCCTGTGGTTCCCAGTTCACTGCCACCACACTAAGCTGGCTCCCACTGAAGATATAATGGGTGAGAGAATTTCCCATTGGATGCAAATAGAGAGAAGGGAATAACCCATCTAGGGGTGTTCAAGCTGAATAAAACCAGTGATGGAGATAGAGAATGCAAAAGGGATCTATTGAGTTGGGAAATGAGAGTAAGAGCTGTAGAGGAAGAAAGAGAGAGGTTGAGCTAGGCGGTGTGGGCGAGGGAGAAGGAAAGCGAGAGTGGCTGGCGTTTATGGATAGCAGATGTGGTGCCGTGGGGTTTTGGCAGGGGCCGAGCGCGCCTGAATCCTGCACGGGCTGGGTGGCACCGGGGTGAGAGGGAGGTCACTGCACCGCAGCACACAGCCCATAAAACACAGAGAGGGTGGGAAGGAAGACTGCCTGGGCCTCACACACCAGCCTGGGACTCCAAGGCTGTGATGGTGAGCAAATCACACTCAAACACTATGCATTCTTAGGTTGAGAAAAGACAATCTCTTAGACCAGGGGTTTAAAAACTGGCCTGAGGTACTGCAGGGGGTCCGCAATTGTTTGTTTTGGTGAAAAATATTTGGGGGGATTTTTTAAAATGTGAAAAATAATTATTTTATGAATATCGGTAGCAGCAACAGAATACATACCATTGTGGATACCATTTTTAGGTCTCTGCGTCCAGTATGAAGGAAGTTACAGGTAGTTTCACGAGCCAATGCTAACTAGCGTTAACGCAATGACTGGAAGTCTACAGTAAAAGTTAGCATGCTAGCTGTTCCTGTTCATCCAACTCTGGGGTAGTATATACAGGGCTTCCTTGCCAAAATCTCGAACTATCCCTTTAATATGGAGGAAATTACAGCCATTGGAGCTAATTACAGGGGTTTTTCTGTATAGACAATTCTTAGGCGGGCTGTCGAAGTTGTAATTTAGTTGACACTGAAAACAGTTTGTGTCAACTTAAAGGACCCAAACCAGATAAAAAGCATACAGAAAGATATTGAACTATATCTTTTTTTTTACAAATACTATCTTAGAGAACTAACAATCAAAATAAAAGCTAGACAGTCAGGGAGAATACAAAAATAAAAGGCATTCAGGGCACATGCCCATTGATTTGGTTATAATGTTTGAGCATAGGAACACAGCCTTAGCCATGGCAAAATGCATAGAATTGCAGGAAATTTGCTTTAAAACTGCAAAATTGTCTCTCAGCTCCATGCCAAACTGGAGAATTGGCGAAAATTAGCTTCACAACAGCTAAATGTTCTCTATGCCGCTAAGATACCTTTCCCTTACTAGCTAATAGACTGTTAGAGTGAACTCTGGGGAGGTCTATTTTTAAATGTTGATTACTTCTGCTTTCACCTGATGATAAGACAATTTCACTGAACAAAAATATAAAACGCAACATTGCAAAGTGTTGGTCCCATGTTTCATAAGCTGTGCTGGGGTCAATAAAAGGCCACTCTAAAAATATGCAGTTTTGTCATACAACACAATGCCACAGATGTCTCAAGTTGAGGGAGCATGCAATTGGCATGCTGTCTGCAGGAATGTCCACCAGAATTTAATGTTCATTTCTCTACCATAAGCCATCGTTTTAAAGAATTTGGCAGTAAGTCCAACCGGCCTCACAACCGCAGACCATGTGTAACTACCCCAGCCCAGGACCTCCACATCCGGCTTCTTCACCTGCGGGATCGTCTGAGACCAGCCACCCGGAGAGCTGATTAAACTGTGGGTTTGCACAACCAAATTATTTCTGCACAAACTGTCAGAAACCGTCTCAGGGAAGCTCATCTGTATGCTTGTCATCCTTACCAGGGTCTTGTCCGGACTGCAGTTCGGCGTCGTAATCGACTTCAGTGGGCAAATGCTCACCTTCGATGGCCACTGGCACGCTGGAGAAGTGTGCTCTATTAATACCGGTTTCAACTGTACCGGGCAGATGGCAGACCACGTGTATGGGACTGTTCAGCCGCACCATAGCTCTGTATTGAACTCATGGCAGGATTGTTACAGCGATGCTAGAAAGTAGGCCAACCACATGTGGTCTGACCCATTCTTACACTGTCTATTTTTTTTTTATTATCAATCCATCCACAACACTTTAACACTGTGAACATACCAGACTAGGGGCTGATATAGTATCAAACCTCTTACCTCACACTACCACTCTCTTATCACAAACCCTGTATTTCCCCCTGATTGAATATACTCACCCAAACTTTTCTATCACCCCACACTTTTCTTTCCTTTATGATATCCCTCCCTCTCTTTCTTGTTCCCCTTTTCTCTCCCCCTTAGCCTGGTCCTGACTCCATGGTTCCTGGGGCCTGGCCAAGGCGTGTGTCCCTGGAGGAGCCAGCAAGGAGATGGAGAGAGGGGGCAGTGAGGGGGCGCAGAGACAGGCTCCAAAACCACAGCAGTCTTTCCTTCCCTTCCTCTCTCTCTCTCTCCACTCCTGTCCTCTTTCCCTTCACTTTGTAAGGAACTGGCCTGGCACACTCCCCAGCTCTGCCATTAATCAGGGAGTGAGGGGTAGTTCAGTGTGTGTGTGTGTGTGTGTGTATGTGCACACGTGGCTGAGTGTGTGTGTTTATGTGTATGTTTGTGTGTGCTGATAGAGAGCTGGATGGAATGGGGGTGATGGTATGGAGACCAGGACCTCCCAACAAAGCTGAAGAGTTCACCCAGCGAGCGAAAGGGGGAGGGAGGGAGGCTGACAGACAAAAAGCCTGGTGCACAGATTGTGACTGCCAGTGAGAGGGACTGAGGACGAGATAGATGATCTAGAGACGTTTTAGGCACAGAGAGAGGTAGAGATGGTCCAGGCCTTTCCCTATGTACATGACTGAAATTCTTCAGGCGGAGAAGTGATGGGACTGTCTGTTATCCCCAGAATGACTCTTCTGCCCAAGACCAACATAAAATTTGAAATACCTTTCGCTAAGACTTTGAGAATGTTCATGTGCGTGCAGGAGAGTGCAAATCAGGGACAAGACGCAAGTGTGTGCGACAGGTAAGAAAGTACAGACATCATTATACAGGGACAGTTCCCTGAAGCAAAGCAGTTCATACAAAGTCCATGAGACCCCCCCTTCCCTCCCTCCTCAACTCCCCCATCCAGTCCATGCCCCTCCACCCTCTTTTCCCTGATTATCCAGGTGGGAGTGAAATGTGAAAAAAACAAACCACTTCCAACCTGCTCCCCCTCACCCCCCAATGGGCCTCCCAGAATGCCTGTCTGCTGACATCACTGAGCAGAGACCTGGCAAGCCAATCTCTCCCCTGCTCTGCTCTGCTCTCCCCTTCCCTCTCGCTCTGCCTGCTTCCTGCCTTCATGATGTCACGCACCATATGGTTTTCAGCGAGTATCAAGCCGGAAAAGAGATTTAGTCGGTCAAAAGGAGAGAAAAGGAGGAGGAGCAGAGTGGGTGTGTTGTGTGTGTAGGATACAGAAAACAAAAGGTTGCTCTTCCCCAATGTGTGCTCTGTGAGTGGAAGGTAAAAGGAGAGGGAGAGGGGGTGAGAAGGAGAGTGGGTGAGAAGGAGAGGGGGAGAGGGTTGAGAGGGAGAGGGGTGAGAAGGAGAGGGGGTGAGAAGGAGAGAGGGGGTAAGAAGGGAGAGGGGTGAGTTGGGAGGGAGAGGGGGGAGAAGGAGAGGGGGGAGGAGAGGAGAGGGGGAGAGGGAGAGGGGGTGAGAAGGGAGAGGGAGAGGGGGGTGAGAAGGGAGAGGGGGTGAGAAGGAGAGGGTGAGAAGGAGAGGGGAGACAGGGAGAGGGGTGAGAAGGGAGAGGGGGTGGAGAGGGAGAGGGGGGTGAGAAGGGAGAGGGGATGAGAGTGAGAGGTAGTGAGAAGGGAGAGAGGGTGACGGGGTGAGAAGGGGTGAGAGGGAGACTGGGTGGGGGGGTGAGGGGGTGAGAGGGAGACGGGGTGAGAAGGGAGAGGGGATGAGAAGGGGGTGAGTGAGAGGGGGTGAGAATGGAGAGGGGATGAGGGGTGAGTGGGAGACGGGGTGAGAGGGAGAGAAGGGAGAGGGGGTGAGAGGGAGAGAAGGGAGAGGGGGTGAGAAGGGAAGGGCTGTGCTGTGTGAGGCTAATGAGGAGAGACCAGGGAGCAGAGAGCACTCAGCGGACAGCCATGTGCACCACAGACGCCCAGCAGGCTGGCCTGCTCACTCACACTCATTGGGTTTACCAATATACTTCCCCTGCATGATGGTCCACAGGAACCAACAAACTGTAGATGCTGGGGCAGCCCTGAGCTGCACACCTCTGGAGCTACCCCAACCAACATCTCCAACTTGAGTGATCAACGTATACATTATTATAAACATACTGCAGATGTGTGAAAATGCCACCAATTTACTCTTACCATAGCCATTTCTCTTGAGACGTGAATCCCATACTATCCCTGTATCATCATAACTCATCCATGAGTATTTCTAATCTGGATTTTATATGGCAAGATAATTGCTCATC